ATCAATGACTAATAAATTTTCAGGTTTTGTGTTGAATGTAAAAAAATAAGGGAAGGAATACAAACAATAATACAAGCATAAATAGATTCAGGTTCAAGAAAGAAAAGCTTAGGTTAAGCTGAGGAAACGACATATAAGAATATTGAAATTAGTAAAAAAATGATATTTTAAGAATGACTGTAAAACTCCAAAGAAAATTAGTGGCAGAGGACATAAAATTAACCTCTATATGAATGTCTCCATTGATGAAATTCAAAGTTGCTCCCTGGTGCTATCTCCAATAAATACTAAATTTTGGATAGTAAATTTAGGTGTCTCTTTTCACATATGCCTTAATAAAGAGTATTCAAAATTACACTTAGAGAGATATAAAGAATGTTTATTTGGGAGAAAAAAAATGCTACAGTATCATTGAAAAGAGTGATGTAGATATCAAATTGTCAAATGAAATTGTGTGGAGGCTTATTGAACTTAGACATATTCCAAGTCTTAAGATAAATTTCATCTATGTAAGCCAACTGACAAAGTTAGGGTCCATTACTACTTTCATAGGTGATTTGTGGAAGGTGATCAAGGGGGGCAACGGTAATGGCTTGGAGCAACATTGAAGGAACTCCTTACCAAATCAGTAAAATAATACATTTCATTAATGTGGTTGAAACCAAGGTGGATGCAAGTTCGTGACACCTTAGGTTTGACCATATGAGCGAGAAAGGTATGAAGCCTCTACTTTCGCATACTAAACTCTAGAGTTTGAAATAAGTGGGTTTTGATTTCTATGAAGATTGTATATATGACAAGCATAAGAAAATTTGTTTTTTCTAAAAGTGGGTTGGTTGTGAAGTCAAAAAATTTGGAGTTAGTGCACACTGACGTGTGTGGTCCGACTTCGGTTCAGTCCATTGAATGTTCATACTATTTTGTCATGTTTATTGGCAATCACACTAGAAAAATATGTGTTTATTTCTTAAAGTAAGAATATGGCACATTTAAAATTGTTGAATAAGTGTAAGACTGAAAAAATTGGAATAAACTTGAAGTTGAAGTGTCTCAAATAAAATAATAGGGGCAGACATCATTATCAAAAGTTTAAGAAATTTTTTGCTATGAGGGGATTTAAGCACAAGTTCACTATCCGAAGAAAATTGCAGCAAAATGATATTGTTGAGTGCATGAATATAACAATTATGAAACATGTTGTGGGCATGAGGCTACATGTAAGCTTGTCAAAATAATTTTAGGCTAAAACATTAAACACTATAATTTATCTGAATAATTGTGATTGATAAATACCTTTGGAGTACGGCTTACCTGAAGAAGCTTGGAGTGACAAAGAGGTAATTATCTCATTTAAAAGTTTTTAGGTGTTCAACATATGTTCATGTTGACGTAGGGTCCATAAGTAAGCTTAGCTCAAAATTTGTCAAGTGCACCTTCATTAGACATGACTCAGATGGGTTTGGGTATAAGTTTTGGGATGATCAGAAAAAAAAATTCATTTGGAGCATAGATGCTACATTTAATTAAATGAAAATGTCCAATGACAAAGTCAAAACTCAGTATAACCTATAAATTCCTTTCAAAGAGTCCAAGTATGTTGAGATAAGAGACACTAATGATAAAAAAGGTGAAGAAAGAAGAAGTGCTCAACCAGATGGAGCAAAAAAAGTTCCTTGGTTACTTACAACTAAAGTTAGGAGGTCTAATAGAGTGATACAACTGGATACATGCACTCTACTTCGTTAAACTATTTTTTTTTAGCTGATAGTGGTGAATCATAGTGTTTTGAGAAGACCACTCAAGTGAAGAAATTCAATCTTTAGAGCCAAATCAGATGTGAGATTTGATGGTATTATTAGATGATGGAAGAGTACTGCACAACAAGTGGTTCTACAGATTGAAAGATGAGTTAGATGATATCAAACATTACAAGGTAAGACTTGTTATGAAGGGTTTCCAGCAAAAGGAGTTGACTGCACAAGATTTTTTTTTTATTCTATAACAACGATGAGAATCGTAAGGGTCGTGCTAAGTTTGACAAAAGAAAAATATCTACATCTTGAGTAGATGGATTTAAAAAAAAAAAAAAACTTTCTTACATGGAGATATGGAGGAGAAAATTATACATGGTCTAACCACAATGTTATAAGATGTTAGGGAAAGAAAGTTTGGTATGCATGTTGAAGAAGAGTCTTTATGGCTTGAAGTTGGCTATGAAAGAGTGGTATAGGAGGTTTGACATGTTCTTATCAGACAGTAGGTACATAAACTGTCAGACATACCACTCTTACTTCATCAAACACTCCAGTAATTATATTCTTATCGTTTTGTATGTGGATAACATGGCAATTGCAGAGCCAAATATAAAGAAAATCAGGGACTTAAATGAGCAATTATCAAGTAAGTTTGAAATGAAGTATTTAGGTCCAACAAAAAAAAATCTTTAGATGAGAACTAACAATGATAAAAGTGCAGGTTCATTGAAGTTATCTCAGAGATAGTGAAGATCCTATGGAGGTCTAACATGAGTGAAGCAAAGCCGGTTTGCATCTCCTTAGATAATCACTTCAATATATCGATGAAGTTATCACCTAATTCTAAAACAGAGTAGACACACATTTGAAGCACTCCATATGCTTCAACAGTTGGAAGTTTGATATAAGTTATGATTTGTGATAAAATAGATATTACATTTACAATAGAAGTGGTCAACGAGTACATGAAAATTTAGAAAGACATCATTAGGAGGCGGTGAATTGGATTCTCATAGATTTGAGGGGAATAGTCAATCTGCACATTTCTATGAAAGTTTAGTGGTCATTTTACAAGGATTTGTATATTTAGATATGGATAGAGAATTAGATGATAAAAGAAGTACAACAGATGAACAGAGTATATCATCACTTTGAGGAATAAGAGCAGAGAGTTGGACTTCTAGGTTGCAAAAGATTGTTGCACTTTCAACTATGGAACTTATATACATTGCTATCACTGAGGTCAGCAAAAAGATGATTTGACTACGGGACTTTATGACATAATTGGGCAAGATCCAAAAGATTGGAAAGCTTCATAATAACAATATGAGTGCAATTCATTCTACTAAGAATGCTGCTTATTTATGCAAGACAAAACACATATAGTTAAAGTATCACTTTATAATCTCCCTCCTAGAAGATGAAAACTTGTTCTTGGAGAATGTGTAAGAAACTTATAATCCTGTCGACAAGTTGACGAATGAGGCAAGGAAACTGTCGAGAAACTGGAGCTATTTCTGACTTCAGTTGGATTCCATGAAGGTTGAGGCTGGGGTTGAGCCACATCACACTTTGTGACCATGATGATGACACAAATGGAGATGTAGATCTGGAGGACATGTGTTCAATCTCCAAATGGGAGATTGCTGAGTTGTGAATCCTGAAGCACCTATAATTGAAGAATGTCACGGTAGTAATAATATAAAGCCATTTACGTGTAGCACACTCACACTTAGATGTAGCGCCCGAGCCTACAGAAAGAGGGAGCAATGCACTCGTGCTCATATAGGCACACCCACCTGAAGTTTGCAGCGTGCCCAAGCCGGTTTCAAGTTCATCTCGAAACAGATGAAATAATTATGCCGATATGTGTCATGACCACGTCGCGAAACGGTAGATTTTGGAATAGCTCTTAAATTTGCGATTTTTGATCAATAGAGAGACTCTTTCGTGCATTTTTGTTGGCAAAAATTCTCGTGAAGGGAGGAGGATTTCAATATTCTTTTCTCTCATGAGATCGAGATGAATGGTTTGGAGCAAAGTTTTCTAAGTTTTATTGTTTGTAGAGAGTAGTATGAGTGAGTATTTTGTACATTTTTTGTTTCTTATAGTGGAAATTGCTGGGTGTTGCGGCTCCATAATTTTTTTTCACGATTATAGGTTTATTCACGGTAAATTTTTGTGTGCTATTTCTAGAATTATTTTGCTGTACTTTTGTTTGATTTTCTTAAGTATTCTCGAATTAGTGCAATCTTATTCCATGGTGTAGTTTTGATTCTAATTAGATCGACGCTTTAATAAAAGGCTATTTTCATCATCCCGATCATGGCTCGACGGCTCAGTCAAATGGAATGAAGGAGGGAGAAAGGGAGTTTGGTTCTCTATCTTCAGCTAGGTCAAGGAGAGTGAGGTGCATGAAATAAAGAGATTTTTATTGTGGTTAATGGCTTGGCCTATGCAGAGGGCAAGTTGGGATGCCCTAACCCTTGTTTTCTCTTAAATAGAGCAATGAAGTTTGAGAATGTGGCAAGCAAGCTGGAAAAAATGGTAAGGGACATATCACAAAGAAATCAAGTGTGAGTGGTAAATCGATAGGGAAGGCGGTGCAAAGAGGAAGCACGATAATTATGAAAAAAAATGAAAGAAATCTCGCGTGAAGCCCGATTGGGAAGACGATGCGGGAGAGGATCATGCAATTCACACATTAAATTGAGGGGCAAGACTTGAGAAGTCGATGATAGTGTGACTCTGGAAAAAGTAATGTTTTTGTTTCTACACTTTATATCACAAATCTCTATATAAAAAAAAAAAACACACACACACACACACACACACCTTGATTTATTAGGCTATAAAAATTAATTGACAAATATTTTAAGAATATAATTAAAACCAAATTCAAAATCCACTTTATTAGATTTTAAATACAATTCAATAACTTAACATTTTTCTTCTCTTTCTAAATTTAGGGGGTTGACCATTCTGTTCTTTATATAGATTGCTTCCCATCTTGCACATTTAGAACATGCAATGCAAATAATATTGTCAACCATGAAATTCCCAAAAAATAAATCCTATGAACATAAAATTATGCTAAAGAGTAATATTAATTAATCTAAAGATGAACAAACAAATCTTAGATTTTGAAGAAAAATTTCGCTTTTCTTAATTATTTACGATAAAAGTTAATAATTTTTGAACAATCAGATGAAAAAATAAAGGAAAAAAAAAAAAGAAGAAGAAGCAAAAGGTTCTTTTCAAAATAAAATTAGAACTCTCTGGTCGGGAGAAGTCAATACAGCCAAGCAAAATTCACCCCGGCAAGCTGGCACGTTAGGGCACTAATTCCTGTTCTTCCGAAACAGAAGGAAAGATGCAATCTTAGATTACTCGTTTCAGTTCGAGTTCCCCAAAGATCGGAAATTGATTCCGAGCTTTACCTCCCAACCTCGCCCAGTGCCATTGCGAAGTTACTGATCGCGATCACGACTTCTTTTGCTGGCAGTCAATCGCCTCTGCAGCCCTCGGCGAATGCGCGCAGAGTGAGTCAGCTTCGTTTCTTTCCCGTTATATTGCTTCTAATCGGGACTTCGACGAAGAGAAGTGTTTAAACTGGTTACTGATGAAGAAACGTTTCTAGTCCTATTGTTTTTTGTTGAGAAACCCTATTTAAAGAACTCTTTTTCTAGCATTCTTATCGTTTCCTAGTTGGTCTCAGTGAGCACTTTGAGTTGTGGCTTGTGTTTCGATTATGTGCATGGAATTAGTGAAATTTGAAGTTCTTCAATCTTATGCATATCGTGGATGTATGGGATAGCGGTAAGTACTGCTTATGATTTATTATTATTGTTATTTTGTTGGTGATTTGAATTCTTTCTTTGAAGCTTAGTGCTGTTCCATCCACCTTTCCATAAGTGGAAGTTGAGCTCTGCAAAGAGTGAATGTGATTGTGGTTGTCTTCCTTAAGTTGTGTTTACTATTTTGGCTACTTAATTGTATTGTTACTATTTGTGAAGGTGCATTGAAGAGCTTCTGGGCCTTTAAAGAATTAGATTAGACAGTATAAAATGTTGCCCGATGTTGGGTGCTTGAAGGCTCTACCCTGATGTGTCTTATTATTTTGTTGATAGGAGATCAATGTACAAGCATATTTTTGTGGGGGCTCTCCCAATCAGGCTGGTCAGCTGGTGTTCGGGTCATTTCGGATAGCATTTAATTTGTTGTCATTCTAAATGCAAAATCTTGGCGTTTATGCGCATAGAATGGATCCCGAGCTGTTGGACAAGCAAAGGAGGACAACACAGGATTACATGTAAGTCTAAACTGGCAAGTTGAAGTTGTTAAATTGTATCTTTAGGGTCAAACATGTTTTTTAAGGGACATTTACATACATAGGATATAGTTCTTATACATTTACTTATCTCAGGCCTAAACTTTCATATTTATACACATAACACTCAAAATTTTAATTTCTCATAAAAAATAGCACCGTTATCACTTTTTAAAAGTGAAAAATACATTTTCATTCATGGGCTTAAAGTACCAAAGTGCTGCATATTTAACTTTTTGGGCGTTAGATATGTAAACACATAAGAATTGTATGCTGCATATTTAACTTTTCTTTTTTTCTTAAATCATAGAATTGGTTGTAAATCTGGTTTTAATGTTGTTTAAGCTTCCTTGTTTGATGATGATATCAAGGCATTGAACACAAAATTTTTGTTGATAATAATGCTTTAGTTAGGCAGGTATGCAATTCCTATTTGAGAATCTTGCAATTTTTATAGTTGCTTGGTTGCTGAATTTCATGCGTTGACTTTTTGATTGTATTATTTATTGGGTGAATAGTAAGATTTAAGGTTCTTAAACTATTTTAAATAGTTAGCATTAATTACATGAATTTTCGCCAATGAAGCAAACTCTATAAGCTATCACACACACACATGCTATTGGTAGGCAACTCAATTTTTATCTTGATTAGTCTAGCATTTCAGTTACTACGCAGTATTTGATCAACTTTGACTAGGCTTTTGAGGCGATCTGTCTCATATAAAGTTTCAAGATGGTTATAAGCACTCATATTCCATGATTAAATTTATCCAAAAATCTACTTTCCATGCAAGGTCATGTAGCGGTTAAGCATGAATGTGAAATTTATTGTTTTATCTGATATTTGAGCTATTTTTGCGGTGCTCCTCGGCACTTATATATCTATTTTATTTAGCTGCATCTCTCAAATAATTTAATTTGGTCGATAATGTTTTGCCTATCAATATACTTCTTTGAGTTATGACCTCCTAAAGATTCATAAAACTTTATGTGATTTATTTTTATCATGATATGATGTGTACATATACTATTTTTATATGGATTACTTATTTAGGTGCGTCTTAGATCTTGTCCTAACGTGCAACATCTGAAAGCTGGCAAAATGCCTGTCATGCCTGAAAGCGAGCGAAGTGCATGCTTGCCTGGACCGGTTTGGTCCTCGCTTTTCCTTGTTGTGGTGCCAGCCGGTCCCTTGGGGTTCATTTCTAATTATCCTGTTATTATAAATTTTCTTTCTTGATGTATTAGGGTTAATTTTTACGTGTGTTTAGGACAATCGTCAACGTCTCTGGTTTCCCCTTCTATGTATGTATCCGAAAGTATGAGTGTTGCTCCAGCTGTATCTTGTTCCAGAGGTGGTGATTAATCCTTGCTCTACCCTTCTCCACCCTCCCTACTTTGCTCCCCCGCTTCCCTCCATTGCCTCCGCCACCTAACACCACACCCCTTTTCTGATTTATTGCTGTTCCATCCATCCTACCTTATAGCCGCCGTCCAAACAAAAAGGTGATGTTGCTTTCTGCTACTATGCAGTCATCCAGCTTTGCCGCCACCACCTAGACTCACCTCTTCTTGAGGGTTCCTCCTGTTTCAGTCATTACCGTCATCCAGAAAACCGCAACCTGCTGGTTTCCTTCACTTCCAGCTGCCTTCTGCCCCATCCGATCCACCCTACCGACCACCATACCCTTGGACTGACCTAAGGATGAATTTGTGTTGTTTGTTGCAATTTCAGATTTTCATTTGTTTTGTTGTAATTTCTATTGGAAGTTGGTAATAATATTTATCGTTGTTTGTTGCAATTTCAGATTTCCATTTGTTTTGTTGTAATTTCTATTGGAAGTTGGTAATAATATTTATTTTTCATTGTTGTTTGGTTTTACTTCAGTATCATTTGATATCAGATATAACTTATGATACCAGAGGAGGAATCCCAAGCCACAAAAGAAATACAACTATTATTATTGAAATTGAAATTGATTACAACGATGGCTCTTCCACAGAAAATAAATAATAACAAACACAAAACATAGGACAACACAAACAAACACCTTTAAGATGTATCCTAATGGGTGGTGGATGGTGGCGGGACCATAGAAGGTTGGGCTGGTTGGGTGCGGGATTCGCTATGGGCAGAAAGCGTTGTGATTGCAGGTGTGGGGGAATATGGGAGCTGTGGTGGGTTGTATGGGGTTGGGCTGCAATTGTAGGGAA